GAAGGACATACAACTCTCATCAATGGGAGTGCATACCGAAGGACATACAGCTCTCAACGGTATGACCTATCATTAGGACTTAGGGAGATTGCCACACAAGGGCACCGTCGAAGGACATACAGCTCTCAATGACGGGGAAAACCGTTCGAAGGACATACAGCGCACAACGAAGGTTACACAAATTCACATGCAAGCAGTGATCATACCAACCCAACAACAAATTAATTATTTACGGCATAGAAATTTAAATAAGACCCACCTGGATACCGAGATATAGCCAAACACAGGGTTGAAAGAATTATGGCAAAAGTTCAGCTCGAAGAACCTACAACAATTATGATAGCCTATCAATTGACTATCCAATACAAGACAACACACAAAGCACATATACTTAGCCGAAATCATATCGACTAAGTGACTCGTGAATTCCTTGACCGAGCTAAGTACTTTGGAGTGACTACTAGACCTGAACACAAGTAATATACCTCTGGTAATACACATAAGTCATGCCAACATCCATAAAATCCTATCTCGAACCTAGATAACGGATAACCGAGCATTAAGACTCTAAAATAAACAAAATTCATAATCGGGAGCATTTTCAAATAATAGGTCATACAAAAACACACAATCTAACAAAGTTTCAGCCCTTAAATCATCCGGGAGGATTTTCAAATAATTCAAGCAAACACTGACACGAAATCAAATTAAATTCTTTAAAATAGCTACAGTCCGAGTTTGATTTTATATTTTTACAGCGGCAAGATATAATGTAAAAGAGCAACATATTCAAAAATTAGGTATTTGGGATAAGAACTCGATTTTATATTAATTTATTAAGAAACAGTCCAGAAAACGTTTTCGAGTTTTGACAAGTCTACAGACCATATAAAAATCCCAAATTTTTAATACAAGTAAAATAACGTAAATATAATCACATATCCGAAAATTAGAATTTTTGGAGCAATACACGAATTATAATGATTTTTGCAAATTTCAGACGCGTGCTCGGTTTAGAAAATTCATAACTTATGATATACACATCGAAACGACCTCAAACCAAAACCAATAAATCAAGGACAACTTTAAGTACCTACAACTCTAGGATTTCCACGAAAACTACCACTCGAAACTCAGTTTGATAAATAACCAAAGTGACGGCAATCACTTTGATATCCAAATCGCATATACATATCA